ATCCACAAATGTCATCTGTTGGCCCCCTACTTCCATCTCGACTGTGGGTTCCTGAGGGCTAAAGGAACCCAGTCAGCCCAACTCGGACTCAATGCCAGCGAGCCCCACTAGCTCTTGGGCTTCTGGTTTCTGTTGGGTGGTCCTGAACGGGGCCCTCCTTTGCAACAGGTGACTTCCCTTGTAGGGGCATTCATTCTTCCAGTGGCCAAACCTTTTGCAATTGGCACACTGGTCTCTTGCCAGAGGCACCCGTCCTCTGGTTCCCCCCTTTTGTGGGGGTACAGGCTACACTAGCTGACTTCCCTTGTGGGGGCATTCAGTCTTCCAGTGACCAAACGTTTTGCAATTGGCACACTGGTCTCCTGCTTGGGGCACCCGTCTGGTTCCCCCTTTTACTAGCTGACTTCCCTTGTGGGGACATTTGTTCTTCCAGTGGCCAAACCCCTTGCAACTGGCACACTGGTCTCTTGCCAAGAGTGCCCGTCCTCTGGTTACCCCCTTTACTAGCTGACATCCTTTCTGGGGACATTCACTCTTCCAGTGGCCAAACCTCTTGCAATTGGTGCACTGGCCTCTTGCCAAAGGTGCCCGTCCTCTGGTTCCCCCCTTTCGTGGGGGTCTGGGCCGCCTGGATGGGTTGGATCTACCAAGGGCAGCAGCCAGGAGGGCAGCCTTTTTCTTCATCCTCTGGTCTTCCTCCCTCTGAGAAGTCTGGTCCCAGTTGACGTACACCTTCTGGGCCACCTCCATTAACTGCATGATACGCATGCCTGCAAATCCTTCGAGTTTCTGCAGCTTCCTCCAAATGTCGGAAGCCGATTGCCCGACAAATGTTGCATTCACCATTCTCTGGTTTTCAGCTGCCTCCGGGTCAATAGGTGTATATATCCCTGTATGCCTCACAGAGGCGCTCGTAGAAGTCATACGGTGACTCCTCTGGCTCCTGGGTAATGAAGGCAACCTTGTTCATGTTGGTCGGCTTTTTGGCCCCTTCCCACACTCCTTGGAGAAGAGCCTCTCGGATGCTCAAGTGCTGCTTGTCCTTCTGGTGCGTTGAAATCTCACTCTGGGTTGGTCTCAGGCACCACTCGTGATACCCATTGTTCCACAACCAGGGTGCCCATTGGCGCCCGTTCCTGCAGCCACTTCCGAGTTCCAATCATGATCCGACTCCGTTCTTTGGTATTGAAGAGAGTCAGCAGGAGTTGCCGGCAATCTTCCCACATAGGACAATGAGTCTGGAAGATGGACTCCAGGAGGTCGATGA